AAAAAAAAAGGGTGATAGGCACTTTAAATTCTGTAGATTTTTTATTCACATATTGACAATGATGTCGATCTGCACAAACATTGCTTAACGACGAAATCAACTATATCTTAAGTCGTCATTATTTTTAGTGTCATTAATATTTGTTGGTAATTAATGGTATAGTATGTACGAACGTACTGAAACCTTCTTTTCAAACGTAACTAGATTTAACAATTTTTAGATAAGTTGATTTGTGCTCACTTACTACAATTTTCATAACCATGCGAACTCTGTGTCCCCGAGTCATGGCACGCTGAAATTTGGTTTATCGCTGTCGCGTCAAAAATATGAAAGGTATCGACTGATTAGTTTTGATTGACGGCAGCGAAAAAACAAATTTCAGAATGCAACTCGGAGACACAGAGTTCGTATGTTTATGAAAATCGCAGTAAGCTAATACGGTATGGCGTCTGAATTCACAGGAGGACGCAACAGGACTCAACAGTTACATCTCGGTTTTCTGCAGGCTGGTGTTTTAATTTGACGTTGCGTTCTTTTACAGTTCGTCAGTTGGCCGGTCAGCCAGTCTTTCTGTCTGTCTGTGCATGTAGTTCTTTTTCTTGTCGGAAGTTCTAACTTTTCTATTTATCAATATCTTTGTCACTTTTCTATTTTCATTATAGTTAACAGCAGACGACCAAAGTGCTGGATCAGTAGTCATAAGCACCATGAAAAGTCAACTCATCTTATTGATCATCGGTGTACTTTGTTTTGCAACCAGGTAATTAGCTAGTTATACTTCGTACATAATTGGACTATTTCGACAATACTTCGACCATCTTGCCAGGGGGCAAAACAAAACAAAGATGACGTAAAATATATAAAACTTCGTGTGTTTGTCTTTCTTTTATGGGTAAAGATGAACGATGTGCCGTCTTATCATATAATTATCCATAAAATACCTATATTTCTCCTTTTCAAAAAACTGATATTTTCACATGTGAAAATAACATGTTATTTTCACATGTGAAAATATCGTTATCATGTGTATTTAAGCTATTGGTTTATAAATAAAAATTTTTTATAATAATAAAATACTTATTAAGTTGATTTTATGGATAATTATATAATAAACAGAATATTACATGGGCGCTTGGAGATACGAAATTTATCTTCTCGTGTCGAAGATCTTTTCAACACTCGAAGATAAATTTCGTATCTCCGCCCGCCCATGTAATATCCTCTATTTAACACATCCCTTGTAGTGTTCTCTTGTGGTAAGCTGTTGATAGCAATCGACAGCAATCGACCTCATTACTAGCTGGAACCAAGCTTTATTTGCCCCTGGATTCCCCACGATGCCTTGCGATCCAAGATGGCCGCCGTATCGTCTAAGTAGGCCATTGTTGCATGTTGCATCATTTCATAAACACCGCCGCTCTGTGAGGATAAGGAATATGAAGGAAAGGCGAACTTGGACTAGTAACCGCAATGAAAGCCAACATCTCTTTGTTATTTTAATTCGGATTAATTGTTGATGCTTCTGATACATTTATTGGTTTTTAATGTCAAGAAAGAGATATAAAAAGGAAGAAGTTCTGTAACAATCATCATCGTCATCATCATCCCTGTGCACCATCACCATCATCATAATTATCATTATCATTATCATCTTAATCATCAATCATAAAAGTCATCATCATCAGCAACAATTAAACATATGTCAGGGGTCCCGACTACAAACATATACATGCCAGTATAGAGGTTTTGCACCACCACGTGACGGCAGCCATGTTAGATGGCAGGAATAATACAATCGTTTACATGAGAAAGAATAAAATTCCCAAGAGCAAAGGGATTTTAATATTCTGCCATCTAACCACAGGAAGCCCAAGCAGTATTATGGGATGGACACGTGATGGTGCAAAACCTCTATGTATGCATTATTAGATGATGTTATGGTGCGGGCTAACTCCCCCTTCGATTATCAAACAGTTCTGCCAGCAATTCATCATCAAAGGGGGTTATGGAGAAGATCTTCGAAGATTACGATAAAGATTTAAGACCAAACCACGAAGGTAATCCGCCACTAAACGAAAGTGCGTTTAATAAAATCAAACTTAACAATAAATATCGATAAAACATTTGGAAAGAGATGAGAATGGAAATAAAAACTAAACTTTAGTCTGCTTTACTTGTCATGAACTTGAGAAGAGGGGCAGGATTTTATATCACAGTCTTACTTCAATCTGTTTTTATGCGTTAGGTGGACCAATTGAGGTGTCGGTCAGTGTTTACGTGAATTCATTTGCAAATATCGACGAGACGAGTATGGTAAGGCGACGATCCAGGGAAAGGGACGTATGTAGTAAAACGAGGAGGTGTCGTCGTGGGCTGTTCGTGTTTCTCTGAGGGAAGTTGAGGGGACACACTATAAGGGACAACTTAAACAAAATTTAATATTAAAGACTTTAGCCAATCAGAAGAGAGCAAAATCAGTATCATATTGACCTCAGCCAATCACAATCACTCATTTTGTGTAGGCTTCGTCACTTGCTTCTGATTGGTTCAAGTTTCACTTAAGTTTGATTTTTTTGTTTTCACTCTATGCCGTGATTGGCTAATTTTCTTCAAGTGGTCCGCAAAGTAAGGCGAGAGGAAAACTAGATTCAGTCCTGCTTCTCGTTCACCAAAGAAAGGAAAGGAAAGAATACCAGGATTCCATACGCGCCATACTATTTTTATTTCATTTCTTATGCCTAAGACATATTAGATAATTTTTTTTGTGGAAAATACTGGAAATGTTTCATACTCATGTTCATAATTATTACTTGCTATTTTTATTACACACCTGAAATTACAGATGTCATGTTTTTTTTTCTTGTCCGTCTGCGTATATGCTTATGTCGCACAGACCTTTTAGGAGATCGAGGAAGTGGCGCGTAAAGACAGAGAAAGAATGAGAGGCGAGTGGAGGGGTACAGAGGGAGAGACATCCAGAGAGTCGAGGAAAGCAGATTTTACGTGTCAGAAATGATTAGCAAATTGATATTATTTTCTTCCTTTATTTAGGAATACAAAGTATATTTCTACCTTCGCCAATACTGGAAGGACGATCGTCTCGTTGGAAAAGTCAACCATACTTTAGCCATGACAGGATTGTCTGCATCACAACTGTGGAAACCCGATGCGTACTGTGAAAACGCTAGGGAATCAAATCTTGCGGAGGCGAGTGATTCGGTTAACAGTTTGGTGTTCTTACATCCTGATGGACTGGTGTTATACAGCAGACTGTAAGTCTTAGAAAAATCTGTATTTAGTGGAGATGGGCAATCAAGATTTATTAACAAGGGGAATTTCACAAATGGGTTTTCAGCGGGATTAGGTTGCACTGTTTTTTTTTATTTTTAATTTTTTGCATTGTTTATGAAAATACCGGAACAGGCAATCTCGTACCCAGAGCCTGCGTTTATCTGGCCTGCGTTAGAAACGAGGGCTCTGGCATAATCCATTTTTTGAGACCAGGATTTCTTGGACTTCCGGTATAACAGAGCACGCGTTTAAAGACTTGCCAAAAATT